TGATGTAATAGTCTAGGTTTAAATTCCTTGTCAAAATACCCCCATTTGAACATTTGTACCCCCCTTCCCATATATTGTGTTGTAATAACTTAGGAACTTTATTTTTCGCACTTTAATGCTTTCTAAATATACCATGTTAGAATTAGGGTTTTGTATGCGAATCAAAAAACAACAAAAATAGTTTGACCTAATTTCAAGATAAACAAGCATGAAAATGGACAATACTAATCACACTTGCACCCCTAGGGTATTCCACTTGTTGCCTTCAATAATGGGCCATATTGCATGTTAGGTCTCTTTGGGCAAAACAAAATAATCAAATAATCATAGTCCCCTCGTTGACGCTTTCGAAAGTTGCCTAAAAATGATCAATTCCCTTAAAGGAAAATTGCCCAAAGATACTTGGCACCATTGCAATTATGGTCTAAACGATGACCCACGCCCGTCCCTTTCGCATCCTAACACAAGATTGTCCACCAAATGCAATGGTGGAACAAAATTGTTAAAAGGGTTAAAACATAGCAAAAATCTTTGAGAACTTTAGGGTAGATAGCTCTTAAGTACTTGTCAACTTGCAAAACAAAAACACTTGCCTATTTTTCAAACCACACTTCACAAACACTTTCAAAACAAACTTTCAAAAAACCTTGAAACATCTTTTCAAAAAAGACAAACACCTTTTGTAAAACATTCGAGTAAAGAATTGTTACAAGGGTAGCCTAGACAAGGCATCTTTTTCAAAACATTTTCCAAAACCACGCACAAAGCACCATTTCAAGCAATCAAAAATCAAGGCAAGTTGATCTAAGCAAGTAACTAAGAGCCCATGGATAACCATGGATAGAAAGGGTGCTAATACCTTCCCTTTCTATAACCATACTCCCCGAACCCACAAAATATCTCAAAGGTTTTTTGCTGTGCTTTTTAAACCTTTCCTTAGGATAAAATAAAAAGTCGGTGGCGACTCTTTCTCAACCGAAACATTTGCGAAAACAAACGCAAAACCATAGTCAGTTCTCCCCACCGTATCACACCCACTCTTAAAGTTGTGTTAGAATTTTTTAGTGAGATTTAAACAAAATCGATACTGTCTCAACACTCTAAAACCCCCTTTACGTGAGACCAGTTTAAGTACATATTATACCAAAACCTCAAACTTTAAAGTATCCCTGAGTAATTTATATAAGCAGTCATCACCGTCTTAAAAACAAACTACGCAGCGGGCTGATAAATATAAGTGAATGGTCTTAAATCATTTTTCCTAAACATCTTGTAATGATGAACTGAAAACAGAGAATATGTTAATTAAGTTAGGTGACCCTCACCCGTTTACTTAATCCAATAGTGCAGAACCTACATATTATGTTATTAAAAACCCGCTGTAAGTTGGTTCAGAGGTTTCTGATGCTGAAATTGAGAGGGCGGACTACGGTTCGATCCCTTGCATCTTGCAATCAGATTAATTAAGGGGGTACCAAATTTATGTACCAGAACCCCATGCTTAATAATACCATCACTAACTGGCTACTCTACTATGTGAGTGAAATAAGATAAAGGGCTTAATGTGATTGCGCTTGAACAAAATGGGTGAAACAAAGAAAAACCGATAGGGTTGAGCTATAATAGTATGACTGGAACTGGTATGCATAAGGAGGGGTTATCTAGTGTTATTACTGTATCTTTGTTTTTTATATTTAGCTTACATCGTTTTAACAGAAACATCGTGCAACCATGTACGAATTGATTTGTGTCATGTAAATGTATTTAACATGTGCTTAAAATATTACCTTACTGATTATTTGCTTGAGGACAAGCAAAGGTTCAAGTATAGGGGAGTTTGATAACGCAAAAATACATAGCTTATTCGACCCGATTTGCATAGATAAAGTTATCGTTTTATCTCAATTATGTTGCATTATGTTGGCTTTTCAAGTGTGTTTCAGGTAGTTATTCCATCTAAGGCCTACATGAAAAAAGGAGAAGAAATGGAAAAGAAACAAGCTCAAAATCAGAAAAACAGCAGAAAACAGAAGATTTCATATCAGAAGGTTGTACCCCTCGGCACACCTTATGTTCCGCCTGGCATAAGTTAAGTTTGTGTGCCCCTCGGTACACAAACCATTCTGATCGGCACATAATAAATATGTGTGC